GGGGGGGGGGGGGGGGGGGGGGCCTCGAGGTCGATGACGCCGACTGGGTATGCCCCGCGCGCCATCGGTCACACCATCCAGGAGGGGGCCGGCACCAGGAGGTGCAGAGCAGGCCGGCGGCCGCGGTGGCCACGGCACCCTCTCCGGCCCGTGTAGTAGCATTGCCTCCCGACCGGCAATGAACCGACGCGCGGGGACAATGATAGTGCGCGTAGCAGTGGCGTGGCCGGCGCACGCGCGCGCGCCGGAGCCTGGTCCCAGTGACCGGTTGCATGGATGCCCGACTTAAAAGTGGAGCCCCCAGCCGGGGGGTACCACCCTCCCGGCCTAACTCCCTCCTCAAACGACCACTCATCCTCCCCGTGCCCCTGGCCCCTCTTGCCGAAGTACCTCTCCGCTCGTTGTTTTTTTTTTCTCCCCGCCTCGCCCCCCCCCCCCCCCCCCACGTTTGCTCGTGTCCGTCACACTGCGCCCTTCGTGCCTGCGCTGGTGAGCTCCGTTGGTCGGCCACCACCACCGCCGCAGCCCATGGCCTTCCAGGCCAACCAATGTGCCCCCTGCAGATCGCGCGCCTCCCTGCCTCGCGTCGTCTTGCTAACTCCCCCTCCCTCATTCTCTCCCCCTCTCGCTCGCACACACACACACACACACACACACCCGCACACACCCGCACACACCCGCACACACGCTCCCACCTCCCACCCTCCCGTGCTGTGCCTCCTTCTGCCCTCCTGGTGTGGGGTTTTCTTGATGCCCCACTCGGCGCAGTCTCCCCCCTCCCTCTCGTGCCCGCCCCTCATTGCTGGTGTCTGTGCATCCTTGACTGCCCTTTTCCACGCGCGCCCGATAGCACCCCGGCCGCTTGGGATTTCATGGACCAGCCGCTGCCGAGCTGAAAAGCCCGTCCGGAAGGGTCTCCACCGCGCTCCCCCCCCCCCCCCCCCAACACACCTCCCATCTCTGCGATCTCCCGTTCATCCACCGCGCCCTGTGAATGATGAAGGTCCTCCCTCCGGGAGTCAGGCGACACATGCACTCGCTGGCCCGCCGGTCGATCAAGGTGGTGGCCATCATCGCGGCGCTGAGCCTTTCGCTGTGGCTGCTGGTGGAGTTTGGCAAGGTCGACACCCCGCAGTATCTGAGCTATGTCGTTGACAGCGCCACCACCCGCCAATCCAAGGCCTCGACCGAGCATCGCCGGTATCCGCCAGGCTCCTGGGACAGCGCCATTCCATGGACCGGGACCCAAACCGGCGGCCATGTGGCTCGACCGGTGTACACCCACCCCAGCTGTGCGTTCCGGCCCCCTGTGCCGCCCCAGCCCTGCAGCCTGTGCCCCGATGTCCCTCCCAGTATTCCATCATTGGCGGCCCGAACGCAGGGCCAGGTCCACGGGGACCCCCTCCCGGGCACATGTGCTGTCGTCGTTCCTCTGTCCCTGACCTCATTCTTTTGTCTGCCCCTCCCCCCTCCCCCCCGCCCTTCTGCCACACACACACACGCACTTGCTCTCCCCTCCTTCTCTCTGTTTCTCCTATCTCTCCCTGGTCCGGCACAGACACCGGGGGCAACTCGGTGAAGGATGGCGGGCCACCCACCGGCGGACATGTGCCAGTAGCCTCATCGCAACAGCAGCACCAGCAGCAGCAGCACCAGCAGCAGCAGCAGCAGCAGTCTTACTATTCGGGCCCGGCGTCAGGTGGTGCGGCTGCCTCGGAGTCGGTCCACAGCCGTCCGGAGGAGGTCGGCTCGAATCCCGACACCATCGAGGACATCCTGGCCCGCTATCCCAACCTAATTGAGGAGCTCGGTGCGCATGGCCGTTTGGCGGTCCTCTTGGCCGGGCCGCCCGTCATATCCATGTGCTGTCTTTTGCCCCGTGCGGCTCGGGCCCGGACCCGGGCCCGGGCTGGCTCGATGCACGCCAACATGGCCCTCTTGCTGACTGGTTTGCTCCGGGCATCCCCCCC